TTGTCATCACCAAGAAAGCGCGATTTTATGATCCCAAGAGATTTAAAAAATGTGAAACAATTCAATTGAAGTGACTAATTATGGATGTATCACACGTGTATATTCTCTGTAAAAAATGATTACAATTGGAAATTTCCATATCAAAATAAATATTATACCGTTTAATACCGATTAATATTTCATAATGTAATTTTATACTGTAAAAAAATTTTTTATTTTATCTTAATTAGATTTTAAAAATATAGTTACTTTTTATTGAATAAATGATTTTTGATCCAGATTCTGAATCCACTTTTTATAATACTTTCAAATATAATACAGAAAAATGTATAATTTTTCATATCTATATTCATTTTGTTAAAAAAAAAAAACGTATAATACACTTTTCATTCTTTGATGTTAAACACTAATCAGCGCATATAAAATTTTTTATATAAAATATTGCAAATTACGGAGATGAATTAGATTAAAAAGAAATATATCTACTTTTTATTGAATAAACGATTTTTTTCATTCAGATTCTAAATTCTCGCCAAACTTTTTGTATTACCTACTTTCAAATACAATATAGAAAATTGTTAATTAACATAATCATCCTTAATTCTTTGACGCTAACAATCAGCGCGTATAAACTTTCTTATCTAAAACATCGCAAATTGCGGAATTGAGACCGCATTCTAAAATTGTAATCTGATATCTAAATGTAAACAATTTGGCAAATTCTTACCTCATCGAGCATAATAGACTAAAGTTAATCGTGGCTGCATTGAGATCGAATCGAGCCATTATCTCGACAGTGCGAATCAATCGGTTACCAATCGGTCGAATAATTCGACTTGGTCCGTTTACCGGTCAGAATGTGCATTAAGCTCTCGAGCATTTAAACGGCTACACGAGTCGGTGAATCGGTTCTTCGATGAGAAACTGTAAATGATTAAGTGCAGCAGGACGCACGTTCTTGATCATTGCCCATCTGAATAGACGCTTCCTATTGAAGAACGTAATCGCTTTAGAGCTGACCGAGCGTTAGTCAAGCGTTTCAATATGAGCGTTTTCCATGGATCCACCGGGAATAGAATGTTTCAATACAAACACAATTGAACGTATATCTCAAGAATTATATACTTTGAAATAAAAAATTTTATGAAGATATATATTAAAAAGATAAGAAAAATCTCAAAGAATTTAATTTATTAATTGGTCTGAATAAAATATTTATATTTAACTCTCTTTTCATAAAATGCTAATCCTAATAAGCTTAAGGAAATTCCATCTATTTTATTTTCATCTTCAGAGACATTGAAATCTTGTCGAAAATCTTTAAGGAGCAATTTATAGATATTTCATCTATAGTGAATCATCTTTCGTATAAGAGAAGATTGAGAGTTGGAACTTCTTGCTACAATATAAAGTTACTTATTCACTAAATTCGCTAAATCATGGTTGTCTGAGAAAATAGTTCTTCTTCGGATATTCTCACTGTTCCTACAAAATTTATGTTCTCTAAAACTGATCCTGAACTCGACGAAGATTTGTATCTTTCGTACTTGTTTTTCTGATCTCTAAGTCCCCCCTCCCCCGGATATCGAATTTAGTCTGTTTAAGATGTCAGTTTTGCTCTATTGTATAAAAAGCCTTTTGTGGATCTTCTGAGTTTCAAACGTTCAAATATATCTAGACGACAAAAAGTTTCAGCTTACTCCAATATTAAGATAATGGCGCTTTTGTGTCCTCTCGAAACGCTTGATTCAGCAGGATGGAATATGCATGTTGCAATTATCGGACAAATCTTCAATTCATCGCGTAGTTATAAAAATAACGATGTTTGTCGATATGGAAGAAATATTGCACATCGGTTCTCGATTCATGTGTGATACGGGCTCAAGAGGCATATCGATGGTGGCCTCTATATCGTCGATTCGAAATGCCACCTGCGCGTGCCATAATACATTACTTAACATCGAGTCACGTTTTTCCTGTTCACTCGCCTTGCTCAGATGTGCAACGCAATGTACGTGTTCGACAAACGGGTGGCGGCGCGAAGGCGTGAGGAAGACTCGTAAAATTTCATACCAATAGCAATAAAACTTAACTGCTTGACGGAGTTGTTATTACACCAAGTAGCAGCTCAGTAAAACACATTTATACAATACATTTATATAGTATAAGCCGTGTTATACATAATATACAATATTACGCCGTCGCAAATGTGTCGTAAAAAATTGAGGACTCAACTTGACGAAATCTCGAGAGATGTGTATTTAACACGTACTTTAATCGAAAATACATACTGTTAAGACAAATTTTTCAATTTTTTTTAGCCTAATGCAATCTAAGCGAATCTATACTGTATACGTTTACAATTCGTAATGACCGAATAATAGCATTTGTAGGAATATTCAGAATTTTGAGAGATAATAAAGATTTATATGAAATATAAGTAAATCGCCTAGAAGAGCCTCTTATTAGTGCGCGATTATTAGTGCGTAAATAATATATTTATAAAATATAATTCAATAGGAATGTATGTATTCATCAACTCTACAATTTTGGATTTGATTCCTCTTCACTTCTTTGTTAAAGAGGACTCAAATCCAGAGTTCTGGAAACATCGAAATGTTTGCAGAATTAATTTCATTGATATAAATACATTTCAATTGTTTGCAAATTTTATCTTATCACCTTATAAATATGTTATTTATGCTCTAACAATCACGGAGGTTCTTACGGACTTATTTAGTTACATTTGATTTATTCATGAAACTACAAAATCATCTTTATTTTAATTTTATTAAAGTATTATCTATATTAAAGCCAATTAGAGGATCTTTAGCGAACTTTTTTATACAGAAAGAAAGGTTTTGTTGAAGTATCTAAAAAAAGCTAACCTAAATCTGAAAATAATTTTGTTGGACTATTTAATAAAATAATTATTAAACATTGATGGTAATACTGCAAAAAATTTTAACATTCTAGCATCCAGTTTACGCGATCTTAACATAATTATTTTTGGAAACAAAATTATTTTTATATCTGTATCAACAGTTATTAATATTAGTTACATTTTTAATAAAACTGTTCTTTCCATGTACGAAAAGTGTGATTCGCCCATTGGCAATAAGCATTAAACTTTTTATCGTAAAAATGATTTTTATAATTTAATTGTTTCTTCTCAAAATTTAGGGAATAATTTCCTGTCTTCCTTACGTACACTTATGATGCATCACTAACACACTCGCGCCCATATTAACACGATGCTCGATAGCATTCATCGTTTTTCATTTCATTCTCGTAGTGACATCTTGCCGATAGGATGGCTGGTAAATTATTATTATGTATTGTAATTGATCACGGGCATTGCAATTCTAACGCTGAATTTCTCGCGGTTGTTTATTTGCCGCACATTCACATTCTCTCTACACAACTGAAAATGCGGCGGGTTGACGCAATGACCGTTTTGCAAGCTGCATTTTAGCCGGGTGCGAGTAAACGCATGCGTCACGGGACCGCGGGTCTTGGGAGTAAGTAATTTCAATGTTGCACAGAGCCCAGCTGCAAAGGGATGGTAATGGGTTGGGGAACAGCGGGGAAAGCGGAAGACTGCGAGACGAAGACGCGAGCGCAAAGTTTCAGAACCTGCAACCTCTGTTGCCTGTCCCGAAATATGTTACGGCATAATGTCGGGAAACTACAGCGATCGCAATATCGTCCTAGCCTGGGACAAAGTGCGTCTGTAACTTATTTCGCGACTGCGTTGACTGCCAACTGTCGTGCATTTCGTTATCATTCGTTTTAAATGCAAATCCGCAAATCTGCCAACTGAAATCGCGCACTAGCATTGTGAGCTATTTGTACGAGGCGTCATGGCGTGTCATCCGCATACAAAAGTGGAATTTTTGAGCACTGACCTAAAAAAACATGATTTTCATCTTCGTAAGCGCGGTTTTTAAAGCGAACGTAATAGAGCAAAAGTGCAATTGCATGTTTGTTTCATTCCATCAAGACTAAAGCGCGAAATTGCAGCCCACCAAAACGTTGACTTTCATATTGTTTTTTTAATTTTTGAAAACACCAAATTGTATTAATTTAATGTTGTTTTTCTACACCGTATTATTTTCAACCAGTTTAAACTTACTTAATAGAAACAGAAATAATAATAAATGCAAGACTATTTCTATTTCTAAAATTACGATCATGATATACGATATCTAGGAAATCATATTGTTAGATAATATTATAATCAAGAGAATAATGGTAACCTGAATCTTTGAAATAAATAATATTTTGTTGTTTTTAACTTCTATGGATGTCGAAATCGATTCATTTTTGTGATTGAATCGCAAAATAAACAGCTAAATGTATGCAAATAAATGGTAAATAATAAAATAAATTTGAGTTAATACTTGTCAGTCATTTCTTGAGTTAAATTATTTATAATTTTATTATTTTAGGTAAATTTACAACATATCGAGTAGGAGCAGTGATCTATAGAAATGATTAAAAATAATTCAAATTGAGTATAATTTGACATTATTAAGTAACAATCTATATACATGGAAAAATCATTTCTGCTGAAGGATCTATAAATTTAGTTAAATATAAATTTAAAAATAATTCTGTTAGACCATCAATACAATTATATAGAATGACATAAAATGAGTGTCAATATTTTGCATGAATATTGCTAATCGTACTTGAATGTCCAACCTAATTATTTTGACATTTCAGAATTATTTTCAGATCTGTATCTAACCAAATTTTTAGATACTATAACCATTCTTTTCGTGCAGGCCCCTAAAAAGTCCTGCATATATTAAAAATTTATGCTGAACTTTTTACAATACATTATATCTCATGTTCACGTTTACATGATTTGATCAATAATGTGAACGTTGATAGTAAAGATATTTATGTATATGTATAATGTATCGAATTTTTTCTAATGTTGTGAATAAATTAGATCGATTAACTCTCTTCGATCTGTTTCCGTTTTCTTACAGACCAGATGAGCGACATCTGCAAGAAATACTTCCTGCGGGATCTCTACAGGAAGATAGACGGCGCCGTTCTTACCTCACAAAATGAGAGGGATCTCGATTGCGCCATTACTTTTCAGACTCACAGCATCCTCCAGCGGTTTATGCTCCGTTTTGATCAGTTGCAGTTAGACTGCAATGACCATCTCTACATCTACGATGGTGCGCACGCGGTCGGCAGTTACAAGGTAAGTCGCCACTATGAAATCCACCACGTGTGTGTGCCGAAGGGTATTATCGAGAGCACAGAGTGCTCGGCTTTACGGCCTTCGTGGCGAATTATCACGGAGGCCGCTTCGATAAGACCATCTCACGTTCCCTTAATGATTTCGATCGAGAGGATAACGGACCCATACAAAAGGAATAAATTCAAAAAAAAATTAATAGAGAGAAAGGAGATGAAATTCAAAAGGGATTGGGATTTATATAGTTTTGGTGAATCGAGATTTCGGTGTCACCGCACAAAAATATCCTCCATATATCCAGTCACAACGATGAAGATCGGAAAACTGACTTATGATACATTTTCCCTTCATCGGCGATATCGAAAATTGAATGCGCGGGGATTATCCCATTTTGAAACTCTATTGCCACATAATATTACATGGAGAGATTTAATTTACATTATTATATGATTATCGCAGATATACATTGCTGATTATTCGAGGGGTGCAAAACGATATCGCAATTTGCGCAACTTCTCCCATCGGCTCGTTAATGCACGAATAAATATTTCTGGTCGCGGGGCTGGATTTGAACGATGTAGTTTCGCTTAACAAAGTGCGAAAAGTCAATTTGAGTAACTAGAGTAAACGAACGAGTCAGTAACTGGTCAACATGAGATTGCCTCGAGATGCAGAAATCAGGTCAAGGCGAGGTCGAGATGATCGTACAAAGTATATTCTTATGTAAAATAGACGAAAATCATTAATGCGCGGCCGTGACAATCATCCTGTCGATCCGGTTTTTAGATTACTCACCCTGAGGTTTCTCAATGCAAATTGACGTAAGCGAAATGTAAGTACGAATTAAAATCTTTTTATTATTCTCTTAGTTTGAATACTTACAGTTCCTAAAAACAAAATAAATAAAACTAACTAAATAAGAGAAATCCTATATTTGGTCAAAGCGAATCTTGGTGCTCAAATATTTCTGTGAATCTATATACATATCTGATTTTGCAAATCGCGCACGTCAAAATCTTTTTCGGTCTTGAACTACGATTATGAGCAGAACCAGTAATATCACTTATTAAATTCAAAAATAATTTACTAATAAGCATCTATAAAAAATTATTAATATTATGTTAATTTAAAATTCTATGAATCTATTGTGAAAAATATTGTCTCAGATAAAATTATTACAACAGTATCAAATGTTAATAGAAAAAAATAAAAATTAATTCTATTAGGTATTAACTTACGCAACTGATTTGCCTAATGGATTTAATACGTTAATAAGCGAATTGTTTCATAATGGATATATTAAATATTCGAACGACGCAGGCAAATGATGCAAGTACACAAGGATATTATTTTTCAATTAATTCACGATGAATTTTCCTGCAAAGCAAGTTCTATACAGGAGTTAATTATTAAGCTACTTAATGCTATATAGCACGAAAGTATTTAAAGGATCAACTGGGAACTATTAAAACGCGGCAATTTGTACTGAAATTGCTACGTGACTCGTGTTTCAACTAGAAATTGCAGACGGTATTAAATGTGCTAATACACGGTGTCATACGAATTTGTCTCGCCATCAAAGCGAAAACAAAAATTCATAAATAGAAATATATCATTCATAGTTAATATTAACTTTTATTTCTGTCGCTATTTGCTATTTCCAAGTGCGTATGTATTATGATATTTTTAGACAGTAATTATTTTTAGACTCTTTTCCACTGGCGAGAAGCTTGTGTTTTACGTAATATACTCATTCTCAACGAAACATATATAAAAATAAAGAGTAATAGTTAACTACACGCGAGATCGTTTTTTACATTTGTAAAAAATTTCTTCCTTGCAGTAAACTAAATCGACTGAATACACAGGAAGGGTTTTATCGTGTTTTAAATGAATAAAGCGGTTTCTAAATACTGAGAATATAAAGCTATCAGAATCATAATTTTTATTATTATTAAAGATATCAAAGATATGAATATATATAAAATTAATATTTCAAACAAAATGAATATTTCCTTTGTAATCGATTAATATTTATATTTCATACATTAATATCTTGTTATCTATATTAGTGTAAAATATTTACATTATTCAATTATATTATTATTGCTTAAGAAAAGATTCGAATAGATATATTATATAATATTATAAAAATTACATTCAATGCAAGAATTCTACTGCACTTCTTTTCTATTGGATATGAAGGAAGAATAATTTAAGAATCATCCTTCAATTTTCAATTAATGCGATAGTATAGGGACGATAGTATAGGGAAGATATCAGAGACTGAAAAAAGATCTGACGGTAAACGGCTTTATTTAAAGAATCGGCCATTAACAAAAGATCGTGACTGATATTTGTATTCGCGTACCGTTTACGGTTTACCATGAAGATTTTTCTTGGGTTTCCCTAATGATCGGTATGTGCAGCCGATGCACTTCTCGTGTGCATTTCGACGTGAACCGACCTAATTGCTGTCATCGATCAAAGACGCCGCACTAATTGCGAGAAGAACGATGTTATTTTCCACATTTAGAATGACGCTGTTACGAAGAGAAAAGAAGATAAAGAGAGAGAGAGAGAGAGAGAGAGAGAGAGAGAGAGAGAGAGAGAGAGAAACAAAGGGAGAGAGAAAGATCCTTCTCTTGGGTTTGCCCGCGAGGTTGAATTTTAATGTATTCCACCCATTATGCATTCCGAACATGGCCGACGCGGGACATGGTGACGCAAACTTGCGCTATTAATCAAGATTCGTTTCTTGAGGGAGGGACGCGAACGGATTCAGTTCCTCCATTGTCCCAAGTTTCCTCCTTTGATTTTTTGCAATCGAACCGAGTTGTACTTCCACGGTTCTTCATTAAACCTTCTATTGTTCCTTTTTAAATTATAAAATACTTAGAAAAATATGATGCTTCGTTCTGTCTCTAATTCTGTGTCTATCGCAAATAATAATTTCTTTCTGTGTCGATCAGAAAAAAAATCAATTAAACGTAATGCCGATTATTGCAGCTTTTTCACGCGTACTTTCGCGATTCGAATGGAATGTTGCGACAGTACATTTCCCGAGCAGGCCAACATTCCCTGAAAAATGAATTCATTTTTTACAGCTCACCTCCCTATGCACCCCGTGGATGCGTATCCGAGCACGAGCTTGTTTATTTATTAAGCGCACTCAATTACGCTTCCACATCGGCCGTAAACAACGTCCTCGTTTGCAGCTCAGTTATATAGGGTGACTAAAGTCATATACAATTCGATCTGTGTGTAAAAATTATTTAAACATAACAAAACACAAAAATTTACATGACTATTAGCTGATATATGATAATAGCTCTTTTTGTACATTGGGAAAAATTGCTGGTTGAAAATGAACAAATCAAGCAGATTTTAATTATGTCAATCGGAATTCCGATTGAGATAATCAGGATGTTCATCCAATCATGATGATCGGAGTTCTGTTTGACACGATCAGAATCTATTGATTCATTTTTAATAAAAAATCTTTCTCAATAATAAAAATATTATTTTGAGGTGTTATTAAAATTGATTCGAAAATATTTACATTTTTTTACTCTTGATTGATTTAAGCATCATTTATTTATTCTATGAAAATAGCCATTGTGGAAAATTTTCAAATTAATATATGTTATTGTTAAATGACAACGTTATTAAGTATTATTTAGAAATAAAAATATATTGCTGTATTAAATGTCATTCTTCATATATATAATTTCAAGACTTAAATATTCTCTTGCGCGTGAGAAACCACGTTATCGATAAGAAGTGAATCATACATTACTTAAATATTGCATCTTATTTAGCCACCCTGTGTGTATATTTGCTACCGCGATATTCACGGTTTTCGAAGCGCAGAGAAGTACGAACTCTGGAATAATTTAGGGGCATAATTTACGAAAAACAAACGACACGGCAGCTGTGTTATAGTCAGCGGAATATCTTCCTAATTTAAATTACCTTCAGGTACTTTTCGCCGCATATTACCAACGATACGCAAACGCAAAGTTTGCTACGTTACATTTGCATGTGCATGTCGCTGATGCGCGCGATGTGCACAGATACACGTGTGATGGAGAACAGAAAGTCAGAGAGCAATACAATTTTGCATAATGGCACTTTAACTTTTTTTTAACTTTAATCTTTTTTATGGCTTTCCTAATGGGCCATTAAGCATACCTTTTTATTTTTGCTCTCTCTCTCTCTCTCTCTCTCTCTCTCTCTCTCAACTCTTTTTCAAATATGATATCCGTCTTTTCATAAAAAAGATCTCTTTTGTTCTTTGATGTATCTCTTTGCAAAGCGCATCCTTATCCCGATGCACTGTTTCTTCAGCAAAGTATTGTTTTGGAAAATAAAATACAGGTATGTATTGCCGTTCAGAGAATACGAAATGCATTATTCATCCTTTAGACTGAAACTTTTAGCGGAAGTCATAAATGTAGCAAGTTGAATACGAATAAGTGTGAATGAAGAGTGAACTTCAAAAGAGTATCCAGCTAAGTTTATTATTTTCTACTGCACCACGTAGAAAAACTTACTTTTAATTTCAGAATTCTATTCTTGTGTGGATATATGGTAATACTTCCTTTAATCCTGACAGCGAGATGGAAATTTTTCGCATAAAAACGATATTACGGCAGTTTCAATTGGGAAAAATCTACCAATTAATCCTAATGCTTTGAATATTCAATCTTTGCATTCTATGCTCATCCTATGAGTAAAACAGTACATTTTGCGTATATGAAATGAATATAAAAAAAGAAGTAAAAGCCCTTGTTGTACGAGAAAGTATCTGGAGTTTTAATTTTCAAATTTTGCGTTATTCCAATGTAACGTTATTAAAAGGACGACATTTTTAACAGGATCCGCTTATATTCTTTTTCTTGTATTCTCATTCTACTGGATTAATTTGCGTCCTGGGACCTAGGAACAGGCGGTAAAGTTCTAATTTCGTAACTTGTAATTAACTTGGCCCGCGAAGCTAA